TGATTTTTTTTTATTTTTTTGCATTTTTCTGCTTATTTTGGCCCAGTCAGCGTTTTGATTTTGATCTTTGCTGACAGGCGTACGAATGTGTTATGCGCAAAATTCTTGGCATAGAACTCTTCCAATTGCGATTTGAGATACTTGAGTTACATATTTTTTCATACAGAAATAAATATATATGTACATATAAGTGTATATGCAGCTGAATGTAGATAAAACTCATGAACTTTTTTTATTTCTCAAAATTGATGGAATTTATGTGCATATATAAATATGTATGTGTTCTAACCTCTTCGGCATGAAAATTTCGACTTTTTAATATTCTCATTTCAAAAGAAAAATTTAGCCGCTCACAGAACCCCGAGGAACTAATGCCGAAATCATCTTTCGTACTTCATACCTATAAACTTCCACTACAGTGGGAGGCCCTCTTAGATCTTCATTGCTTTCGCAGCGGCAAGACTACGGAAGATGACTGAAGAAAATCTACTCAACCTCGGAGTAGACGAACTACTGTATATAATCCTCACTGTGCCAAGCAAGCTCAGTGGAGAAATCTACCAAAAAAAATACCTCAACTCACTGTGTCAAGAGTTTATACAGCGAACCTGATATGAAAGTGTAAATCGTGTAGGTTTAAGGCCACACTCTGTAAGAACCGACAGTGAACTGCAGGGTATCATTTAAGATAGAACGTTCATTGAACCAACCTACCGTGGGACAGGGACACAGTAATATTGCGGATAATGAGTTTCCAGGTTAGATGAGATTAGGTTTGGTTGGAGTGGCTATCGAAGTATGAATACACCTAGGCCAGTATAGGCCCATTGTGATACTATGGGTAAAAGATCAACGGATCTCACTACCCATCCACTTCGACTGCTGTACAAATTCTGATGTCTGCTAACCTACACGTTTTATCAATGAAAGTAGTTCCTGGATATCGGATCTGTCTCATAGAAGACGAGACTCTGTTTCTTGCTCCTCCATGTTCTTACAGTTTCTACAGCGTCTCCTGAACACAACTACCAGCTAGCTGCAAGTCGTCCTATTAAGCCGTGAACTGTTAAGACGCCTTCTCTCAAATAATTCCTTTGTAAATGATCCGTACTTTGGAGTTAAAGTCCTTAGGGGCAGCAATCTGTAGAGACTTCAGTAAAACAGTGGGTGCAAAGATATGTCCATTACTCAGCTTTTTTCGACTTTATATAGTGTTTGGCCATCGGCGGTTTCGTTGAAAACGTCTAGCTAGTTAGCTAAGGAACCCATTGACAGTAGCAATCTGCTGAATCAAATATCTCAGGGATGCTGGAGAGCAAAAGAGCTTGAACTGTTGCATGGTATAATGGGGGAACCGAAGCACAAACATGCTAAGCTTTGATGGCGAGTGGTTGTTGGGTGGGGTAAAAATTATAGAATGCAAGGACGATCCCTCTCTAAAAATGGTAAAAAACTGTTGCGTTGTTTCGAAGCCCTTTGGAGGGCAAAGACTTGGAGACTGTGAACCGCAGCTGCATGTCGTCCTTACCAGAAGCGAAGTATCTCACACCCAGCACCGTAAAGCGCAGAATTCAAAGCGGCTTCTGCAGATACAGAACCCAGACATGTCAAAGGGAGATTGGAATGTGTTAAAGGTCACTAACTTCGGAAAGGAAAATTACAGGCAAAGCCACATCTTCTAAATTAACAAGCCGGCCAAAAACTTACTCTTCGCCAGGTACGAGACGATGGCGTGGGGGGTAGGTAGCGTGAACCTTCGCCTCAAGAAACGAAACCTGGCGACATATGCCGAGCTCCTTCTAAGGGTTAGAGTAACTCCAGCGGCTAAATTAGAGGGAATTGCTGACAAGACGCCCCCAGATATTGCTCTACGGTGCTCTGGGGTGGTGGACCAATACCAATGAAATCTCGTATAGAAAATTATTAGACCGAGTACAGATGCTCGCGGCACTGTGCCACCACCAATTGACATCGCAGTGGTCCAATGCTTTATATGGAATAGAGGGTTTCAAGCTACGTTCAAGGAAGACAGATGACGCAGGAACATGCAACGGAACTGTGGCAAGTACAACATTTGCTGGAGTCTACTGTGCTAAGCTGGATCAAGCTTCCAGCGTACTGTAGAGTTTTTCAGGCGGTTATTTTCGCTTTAGAGCAATTTAATGAAATTAGCTAAGAAACCACATACGATATTAAACACCAATAAAATAATAGAAAATGTCCTTAGAAACAGTTAAGGCGTTGACGTCTCATAATACAACTCTTTTAGAAGGCAGTAAAATGAGCCTCGATTTGACACTACAAAGGACCAACAGGTCAATGTAATGCGCAACAGCCAGCCCGTGTAAGCTAATCTAACAATGCTTCCTACTCTGCCGAGAGTCATGTGTTCCAGTCTTGGCCAAACAAAGATTCAAAATCAAAAAACAAAAAACTGTTTTAAACGCAATGGAATTTTTTTTTGGAGCAACGAGCTTAATGTACATGCCATACATATATACTTATATGTTATTTACATAAATTTTTTTATATATTCCAGCGCAAAATCCATTTGGTTCTTTATTGCCAGCAAACGAAATCCCAGCAAGAAGTAAAAAAATAAGTCAATTCCACATGCAGAACTCCCAGAAAAAGCTTACATGGGCTTGGAGTAGCCTTCATTTGCGTAGTTTTTATACATATATATAATATTGTCTTCTTAATTTTTATTTTTGCTTTTATTTCATTCTTTTTTTTTAATATTTTCTGGGAATGGCCAAAGCTTTAATGGTAATGGTGTCAAAAATCGGTCACATCGTTGGTATTGGATGAGTGCATAAGTTCGTGCCCGATTCCGCTGGATGCCGTTCGAATCGTTTGAGAGTGGCGCTCGTGAAAGAAATATATACATATTATATATCGTTGGAAAGGTGACAGTCCGAACTGTAAATCAAGCATAAAATAACTTCATTTTGATTTGAGTTGCTTAGTGAAAAGACGCATGGAAGATGGACAACGAAAAAGATCATATGCGTCATATTATGCTATTCGAATTCCGCAAAGGAAAAACAGTAGGCGCTGCAACTAAAGATATTCGCGAAGTTTATTTGGACCGGGCTCCAGCACTCCGCACAGTAAAGAAATGGTTCGCGAAATTTCGTTGTGGAGATTTTAACCTCGAAGATCAACCTCGCAGTGGACGGCCTTCTGGGCTTGATGACGCTGTTCTAAGGACTTTAGTTGCGAATAACTCACGTATTTCGACGGAGGAGGTTCCCAGTGAATTGAACGTCAACAAATCAACTGAGTTTCGTCGTTTAAAAAAGGTTGGGTACACTTTGAAGCTCGATACATGGGTGCCACATCAGCTGAGTGAAAAAAACAACGTGGACCGTATGTCAGCAGCAATTTCTTTGCTTCGACGGATCAAAAACGAACCTTTTTTGGATCGGCTCGTGACTGGTGATGAAAAATGGATCCTGCACAACAATGTTCAACGCCATTGAAAGCAATTGATGAAAAACGTCCGATTTTGGCCCATCGCAAAGGAGTTCTTTTCCAACATGACAACGCCAGGCCACATGTTGCAAAACCGATCCTGGCCAAACTGAAGGAGATGAATTGGGAAATCATGCCGCATCCCCCATATTCACCCGACATTGCATCTTCTGATTATCATTTGTTTCGATCGCTGCAGAACAATTTGAATGGAAAAAAATTTAAAAATGTGGAAAACGTCAAAAAACCACCTTGACACCTTTTTCTTTGATTTCTATGAATCAGGCATCCGTAAATTGGTTGAACGTTGGGAGTGGATTGCCGAACATGATGGCGAAATTTTGAATTTGAATTTTAGTTTGCACTTGAGATCGGGCACGAACTTATGCACTCATCCAATATATATCTGATCTCTGACGGCACATACTCGTATGTATGTAGCGCTTTACTTAGCTACCAAAAGCGCGTCAATACAGTGGAACTCTTTGACTTTTTTGGTGCAAAAAAATTGTTTCAGCAAGGCATGTGAGCCAACGTAATTACAGTTGAGTGAAAAGTTTTTTACGCCTGTATAAATTTACATGTGAGGCATCCTCAAAGTGGCTTGGCACTGTTTGACAAAATCCATAAGCAGAAAATGAATGAAACTATGTACAGTAATGTGGATGATGAAACACTCCCCTACACACAAACAATTAGCTGGGGCTTACTGCGCAGGATAATTTTGATTTTATGACACTATAAAGTAAAAAATTTGTCATAATTTCTGTGGGAAGTTCGGTAGTTTGTCCCTCCATACCATTTGGGCAATGAATTTATAAGGATGCTCATTAACAAAAATGATGCATTGCAATTTGTATCACATGCTGTACGCTCTAAGTGCTTTGTTATTGCACTTAAATGAGGGGGGGGGGGGGCAAATTGCAATTTGCAAGTTTTGCCATCAAGTCGCCGCCCTGTTGACATTTTACGCTCTTTTTTTTTTGTTCGGAATGGGTTATAGCTGCAAAAAGTACATATCTATGTATTAAATTGGCACATCAGTATATACCTAACATATTTGTATGGATATGAGCGTTAAAGATTTAAAAATGGCTTCTTATAAAAACTTGTGGCATAGATAAATTTATTTTATAAATTACATTAAAATATTTTTGCATTAGATTTGTATCTTTAAAGAAATTTTTTGCAAAATTTGTTGTAAAAATGCGATATGATATGCACATTTAATAATCAGTTGAGAATTTTAGCAAAAAGTTGCATACTTTTAGGCGCTAAAAGATTACGTATTACAGCAGAGAAGTCACTAAGTGAATGTGCCACGGCTTATTTCTAATGACTGCTTGCTTCAAATTGAAATAAATCCACCTGCAAATTTATTTCTAATAAACTAACAATAACTTCACAAAGGTTGATATACTTTTAGGCACTTCTAAAACTAGTAAACATAATAAACCTTGTGGAAATTAAAAAAAAAACGCTTTTTTCCTGTTATCAGTAATTTTATTTTCATTCAAACTTACGATTTAGCCGAATGTTGTGATATTCTTACACTTGACTTCGCTTCCGGTGGATTTTCCGAGCTTGTATCAGACATTTTTGGGCCTTTGAAAATCTTTGTCGGTGCGCTTTGAACTATTATCCTTGCGAAAATAGTGCTGCAGTTTTAAGAAATCTTTAGCGTTAGCCACTTGTATATATATGTATTCGGGTGCACGTTCTTTTTTTGAATTAATTACACTAATTAAAGAAAGAATATTCGATTTTTGAGCCCTTCTTTTCAAAATGAAAAATATTTGATAGAAAACAAAATTTTATTCTTTTCTTTGTTTTGAAATTTTAAAATGAAATGAAAATCATTCGAAATCAACTTTTTTATTTTAGAGTGGTAAAACTATTAATAAATAAAATCATAATTATATTTAAGAAAATAAATAGGATAATATCAGGTGTACAACTTTGCTTCCGCCGTTTTCCGATAGGTGGCTGTACCGGCTGAGGCTAGTTGAAATACATAGATGATAATGCCTTCAAAGTGAGTGTGAACAGTGCCTACCGAATTGCCATCGCCGTTTCAGTGACAGTTGTTCTTGTTTTCGTATTACTCACGCTCGAAAATGTCCGTTTATGTGCCGAATTCTCGCCATTTGCGGGAAGTTTTATTTTTCTGTTACAATTCGAAAAAAATGCAGCTGAAGCGCATCGAATGCTCTCAGAAACGTACGGTGATGCTGCTCTGAGTGAAAGAACGTGTCGGGAGTGATTTCAGCGTTTTAAAAATGGTGATTTCGATGTCAAAGACAAACATGGTGGTGGAAGAAAAGATTTACTACGAGCTCTTAAAACCGGGTGAAACCATCACAGGAGATTGATACCGAACGCAACTGATGCGTCTTAGTCGCGCGCTAAAAGAAAAACGGCCACAATATCAAGAGCCACATGACAAAGTCATCCTCCAACTCGACAATGCTTGGCCTCACGTCGCAAAAGTGGTCAAAAAGTACCTGGAAACGCTGAAATGGGAAGTCTTACCCCACCCGCCGTATTCCCCAGATGTCGCCCCTTCTGACTTCCACCTATTCCGCTCGACGGCACACGGTCTGGCAGATCAACATTTTCAATCCTTCGAAGAATTGGAAAAATGGATTGCTTAATGGATAGCGTCAAAAGAGGACTCCTTTTTTCGAGCCGGGATCCGAAAATTGCCGGAAAGATGGGAGAAAGTTGTCGCTAGCGAAGGGCAATACTTTGCCGTTCGAAGGCGGCTTAGTATAAACTGTAGCTCCCTTCATTTGTTGGAAAAACAACAAGACGTAAAGCCACAAATTGGAGGAGGAGCTGGGCCGAAAATCGCATCAGCCGCTATAAAGCACCAATCATATATGTATTTGTTTGCATTATTCCATGAGTTATATGTACATACAAATATTTGTGTTAATTTATATTATAAATTAATGCCAAATGATAAATATATTTATATATTATATTATCAATGAAAATGCTTTCAACTGCAATAAACTTCATATTGGTATATAATATATACTAGATATATTTATATTGCTGAATTGCTGTCATTAATTTTTGACATTTATTAACTGCGAATAATTTTCCTCATCTCTTGTATATTTATGTTTGTACATATCTACAATATACATGCACCAATGTTCTTATGTGGAGTCTCAAATTTACTGCATACCTATGACACAATCGCTTTGGTCTACATACCTACATATATAATAATATAATTTAATATCAGAGTACATATATAAGTAGATATATATAAATATATTTATTTACCTTTGTTTATTTATTTATGTTAATATTATCCACTTAATTAATAAATTTTTACCTGAAATTAAATGGAGAAAAATATATTACTTCAAGGCTTACAATATTCGCATACACACTTATATATTGCAATATGATTTCATAATAAAATCAGTTAAAGGTGATTTAAATTAAAAATAAATGATTCTGATAACAATAAGTCTGCTGAAAAAATTATTATTAGACAAAGCCTTATTTATTTATTACTAATAATAATGATTTATAATCTATGCCATGGAGATCATATGAAAGACAATTTTTTTTAACAATCTGAAAGAAAAATGAAAAAAAAAATTAATTCTAGCCTGATAAACATGATCTGAAGATATTTTAATTAGGTTTATCTAATTTTCTTCTAATTAATTTAAATTAAATTTAATTAAGTTGAGCCAGTCAATTATAATTAAACTATACTTTATTTACATTTTTTATTTATATCAAATCCATTTTATTTTAGTTAAACTTTATTATTTTACTTAAATTTATTTAGTTTTTTCATATAATTTGAGTTAAGTTTATTTGTTCTTTATTTTATTTTACCTCTCCTTATTTTATGTTTCTTATTTCACTAAATTTTATTTGTTGTTATTAAAATAGCAATTTAATTTATTTTTCATTTATTTACCGAGTTTGATAATTTTTGCCATCTTATAAATTTTTCTTTTACAAAAATTTATTTTATTTCATTTTCTTGATTTTATATTGCCCTCCTCATTTTTTTTATTAATATAATCTATATTTTTTCTTGTTTTACTTTATTTTGTGTTCTTTTACACTTTTTTATTTTAATTTACATTTATTCTTAACATTTCTTATTTAACTTCCCCCTGTTTCATTTTTGTTAAAATGCTTTGCTATTTTCTTTTTTAAATTAATTTAATTTTAATTAGTTTTGTTTTATTGTAATTTATTTTATTTAAGTTTTTTTTATTAATTTAATTTGTTTTAATTTACTTCAATTCATTTTTGTATAAATTAACTGAATTAAATTTTTTTATTTCTTTTTAGTTTATTATTTACTCTTTTGAATTTTATTTTATTTTATTTTATTTTATATTATTTTATTTTATTTTATTTTATTTTATTTTATTTTATTTTATTTTATTTTATTTTATTTTATTTTATTTTATTTTATTTTATTTTATATTATTTTATTTTATTTTATTTTATTTTATTTTATTTTATTTTATTTTATTTTATTTAATTTTATTTTATTTTATTTTATTTTATTTTATATTATTTTATTTTATTTTATTTTATTTTATTTTATTTTATTTTATTTTATTTTATTTTATTATATTATATTTTATTTTATTTTATTTGATTTTATTTGATTTGGTTTTTTGTTATTTTGTTTGATTTTATTTTATTATATTTTATTTCATTTAAATTTGTTTTATTTTATTTTTTGCTAACAGCTGATCATTTTCAACATACTTTTTTTCGGAAAATAACCAAAAATTTACGAGATCCGAATTTATTTCAACTAATTAACTTGATTTATTAAACTCATTTCGGTAATTTTGTTTATTTACTTATTTTGCGTTTTAATTAATTTATTTTATTTATTTTTTGATTATTTTCAACTCATTTTTGTTGCATTAAAGTTGTCGCTACGGAATGCCTAATTAGGTTAATGACAACATTTCGGCGCGGTCGGTGGTCAGTGGTGGGTGGGTTTTGTTAGTTTTTTCTATGTAGTTTCTGTATGTATGGATGTGTGTGTTTTTATAACTTTTTGTGGTAATTCGTTGTTGTCAGTGACACTAACTGAAATATTAGTGATATATTTACAATAATACCATTTATATGTACATGCATATGCTCGTATGTATATTTCGTGACGGTGTCTGTTTACCAAAGTAAGCAATGTAATTACTTAAAATTCTGCTAATGTTTGAAAGGAATTTGACCATGTAAATGTTTGATATCTTCTGCATAATTGATATACTTGTAGTTATATAGGAAACTCACACCTAAATAGGTCACGATATAGAAACAGAACTTCAATATCTTCATTAAAGCAAAGAGTTTGTTTTTCAGGTAACTTTAGTTTACTTTGATGAATTGCTTTAATAGATTACCACAGACACATATTCCTTTATGAAATTTTCATACTATTATACCAAGTTATGTATATCATTAGACTTGACTTGTGAGCACCTTCTCTAACACGATGTCAAGTTTGCTTACATGTGCAAACATATAAAGAAAGATCGGAGCAGACTCTTGTAGGACACAGAAAGTAGATCCAGTAATGGATGCCCAGAGTATACTGAACTTACGGAGGGAACGTTTCTCTAGCCTGCTGAATGGCGGAGAAACTGGTCTGATGGCATACCCGATTTCCCAATTAATGACGATGGAACAATGCTTCATTAAAATAGCGATTTGGCGGTGGAGTACTGACAATATGCATCCATAAGCTTCTTTGCAAAATATGGTCGCATGAAAGCGTGTCCGACGATTGAAATCTAAGGGTGCTCTGCCCAATCCACAAGAACGGCGATCCCACACTCTGCGCTAATAACCGTGGAATAAGCCTGCTTAACATCGCCTATAAGGTCCTGCCGAGCGTATTGTGTGACAGACTAAGGCCTATCGTCAACAAACTGATTGCACTTTATCAAAGTGCCTTTAGACCTCTCGACACACCACTTCTTGGTGTTCTTTATTGATTTTAAAATAAAAAAATGAGTGTCCTTTACGCAGCCATTCCTGAACTTGGTAGACCCGGATAAGTTAACTGAAGGTAAGCAACACCAAAAGCTGCTTCAGTATCGGAAAGAACCTCTCCGCGCTATTCGATACTAAACAAGGTTTCATACAAAGCGGCTCTTTGCCGCGTGACTTCTTCACTTTATTGCTAGAAGAAATAATACGATCTATAGAGCTGAATGGAGAATGTACAATCTGATGATATTGACATAATTGCTCTCGAAAACCGGATAAGAAAGTGAAGAGTATTGGTTTGGTGGTGAAAAAGGGGAATACGAATACCCAACACATCCTCTCGACATTGTAAACAGTGAAAGCTTTGAAGTCGTAGAAAACTTCGTCTATCTTGGAATCAGTATTAACGCCAAGAACACTTTCAGCCTGGAAATCCAAATCGCTCTTGCCAATTGGTGCTACATTGGACTAAGTAGAATATGGAAAAGTAAAATCTTCACTCGACGAAGAAAAACCTAACCTTACAGCTGCTTGTCGTGCCCGACTCGAGATATACGACATAGACTTACATAGTTAACCAACTCAAGAGACAGTGGCTACGCTGGCTAGGTTATGTGGTGATACAGCTTCCACCGGTGGAAGCAGAGGAGAAGGTTGATCTCCATTCCGTTTGGAAAGATCATGTTGAGAAGGACCTGTCTTAGAAGGTATAACCAGTTTTCGTGCGATCACTCTTCGTGCTTTTATGAAACCATTTCGGAGGCTTAGAGAAAATTATACTCGTGTGTATATTATGTATTATATATATGTATATGTACGTGGAAAAAATGCAACAAAT